CTCCCAGGACCACCCCTTCCCCAGCGTGTGCAGGGAGCACCACTGCCCTGGCCGGCTGTGCAGGGCCTGCAGAGGAGCAGTGACTGCTAGGCCCTGGGGGAGGGAGGGGTGTGAAGGACAGAAGAGGAGTGTGGAGGGACCAGAGCAAAGCCAGAGATACAGCGACCAACCTCAGGGGCATGTGTGCAGTGGGGAGTGGGGTCCACAGCCTTTCTATTTTGGGGAGCCACTGAGTGTGTGAGCATGAGAATGACAAGAGCTTATCACATTGAGGGTGGCAGATGGCCAGGTGAGGTGGGCTGCAGCCTGTCCTGGGGACAGAGAGTCAGAAGGACTCTGGAAGGTACAGGGCTGAACCCTGGGAGGGGTGGAGCAGGCCCAGGAGGGGCTGGCGTGGAGGGGCTGGGGTGAGGCCTATGTGGCTGGACCCCAAGTGAGGTCGCCAAGTAGAGGCTCTGACACAGTCCCTGGGCAGGTCAGGGGTCCCCAGAGACAAGAAGGATGGAGGCTGAGGAGAAGGCTGAGGTCTAGGGCTGGGAAGGGGTCTTGGAGAATTGTTTTAGGGAGGGATTGGTATTCAGCAAGCTGAAGGCTAAGTGGGGTGTCACGGTGGGTGGGCGCTGGGTCCTTAAAATGAGGTGAGAATGTGAGGGCAGGAGGTGGCAAGGAGCTGAGAGTGGGGTGTGGAAGTTTCCCCTGACATTGGGTGGAGACACAAGTCCCAGATGAGGCTTCTGCCTGGTCCTGGGGGTGGAGGTGGGGGAGCCTGGGGCTTCCCCAGGAACCTCCTTGGTCCATAGATCTTATGCCCTGGTGGGAAAGGAGGGCTTTGCTTCTACTCTTGGCCTTTACGGCAGTTCTGCCTGGACCTGCCCAGTGGCCAGCAGGCAGAGCTGGGTGTGAGGCTGTCCCAGGAGGTGTGACTGGGTCTGGGGAAGGGCTTGGAGCAGGGCCAAGCCAGCTGTCCCAGGTCCAGGGCTTCTCCCCGTCCAAGCAGCTTCTCTATAGCTCAGCAACCTCCATGACCTTGCTGGTTGTGCAGAGAGGAGTCTGGGAGCCTAAGCTTGTTGGGTGCTCTGTTAATAGCTGTGCTGCCCTTGGGGCCCAGGGATTGGGAAGGGGACAGAGGGTGCAAGCCCCCTGTCTGTGCTCCAGTGCCCTGCTTGACTGGCTCCATGTGGTCAGGGGCCAGAGTCTCCGGTCCCTCAGCTGTGCATGCTGGTCATCAGCCACTTCCAGGGCGGAGGCCCCGGGACAGCTGTGGCCAGAGAATGCAGATGGTGCCCCTGGGCTCCTTGCTATGGACTTCTCCTTTTTCTGCTGGTGACAGCCATACCCCATGTCCCCTGAGCTCCTGTGTGTGAAGTGGATGCTGGCGAGAACCAGGGTGAGGTGTCCGCAGGCTCTGGGGGATGTGTGTATGGGGGAGCTCACTGGCCTCTCCCCCTCCGCAGACTGATCCCGCCGCTCAACCAGCTGGAGCTGCTTCGGAACCTCAAGAGTAAATCTGGACTCACGTTCAGGTCAGCAGAGGGGCTCCAGGGCTGCAACTTGGGTGGGGTGGGGCAACTGGGCGTGTCTGTCCTCCCAAGGGTACGCAGCCCATGGGAACCCTGGCAAGGGAAGGACACCTCGGCACAGGCTAGCCCCGGACCTGGTGATATCTGAGTGCTTGGCACAGAAGTGGGGTGTGCAGTGGAGAGGAGTGTGGTCCCCAAGGTCCCCGTGTCAAGAACTCTGAATTGGGCAGAGGAGCTACAGTGGGGTCAGTGCTGGCCCCACCCCCCAAAGACACCAGGTGCCCTGAACCTGTGAATGCGACGTTATTTGGGAAAAGCCCTGGTGGATGTGATTAAATGAGGGATTTCAGTGTGAGGTTGCTCTAGACCAGTGTGGCCCCAAACCCCATGACAAATGTCCTTACAAGAAACAGTGGAGAGAGCCATGTGAGTGGAGGTGGGACAAAGTGGCCACAAACCCAGGGACGCCTGGGTCCACCAGGAGTAGGGGTGGCAGGAAGGACCGACCCTTGCAGCCTCGGAGGGGAGCCCCGACTCCTGAGCCTGGATCCCCGGCCTCTAGGAGGGGACAGGGCAGCCTTCTGTGGATGAGGCCCCAGTTCGTGGCCCTCTATCACGGCAGAGACAGGGAACCCGCACAGGCCCAGGTGGGAGCAGAGTGTTGCTGTGATGAATGCAGAAGTGGCCTGGGGACTGGGTGACGGGCGGGCAGTTTTGGGAGAGCTGTGACAAGCAAGAGCAAGAGGCCCTGGTTGTGGGGAAGGAGAGACTGCTGGGGATGGGACATGAAAGGCTATTATTCCCAGCATGCTGCAGGAGCTACGGATGTGAAAGGGCCCCAGGTGAGGTCGTGGCTGGAAACAAGGAACATGTCCCTGCTGTACGTGGCAGGAAATGGACTGAGTCGTGTCGCAGGGCTGGGTGGACAGCAGAACCTGCTCAGATGGACAGACGAGCTGGGATGTTCAGCCGAGGTTTCCAGCAGGGCATGGGAGGTGTCACCTGGTTTCTCAGGCCACTGATGCAAAAGGGTGGGAGGGAGAGGTGGATCCAAGGAGGAACTGCTGAGCAGAGAGAAACCAGCCTCGCAGATGTGGGGGTGTCACTGTCCAGATTAGAAAGGACAGTAACTTGGGAGGGAGACCCACTGGGGGAAGTGCGCTTTGGGGAGAGGGTCCCGTGCTGGCAGGACAACTTCTGTGGGAGAGATTCCATGACCGGTGGGTCCCACCAGCCCTCTGGCAGAAGCAGACGTGGAGATGGGTCTCCAGCAGAGAGCGTGAGCCCTCTGTAATGCCGGACTCCCTCTTCCTCCAGGACCTGCCTCCTTGGGGGTATAGGGGTGATGGGCTGTGGGTGTGGGCAGGGCAAGATGGGGATGTGATGGATGCCAGGCAGGGGAGGCCCACTGGGCCCTGGGTGGGGTGTGTCTGACGGTCAGCCCTGACAGTCTTATTGCTTCTGTTTGAAGGAAGGAGCCGCAGCCGGAGCCATCTCCCAGGTCAGTGCCTGCCCACCTCCCGTGTCTGCATGTGTGTTGGCCGGGAGGTGAGGGCTGCTGCGGGGCCCCATGGGAGTTCCGTGTGGGGCTGTGGCTGGACCCCTGCCCGATGGTGATTGCCCATGGTGATGTGTCCCTTATATCAGTGTTCTGTGTCCCCTGAGTGCAGGTCTCAGGCCCCCGAGGCCGGGATTTCTGTGAGGGAGGCCAGCAGGGTCAGTACCTGGGAGTCATGGTCAGGTGGTGCAGGAGGGCCACTCTGAGGAGGGGTCTTCACTGCCTGAAAGGGGGAGATCCTGGTTTGTTGAAGGTTTCTGTGGAGAGTGGGAAGGTTCCTTTTTAGCACAGGGTCTCCTGATCTTCAGGGGTCCCAGGAGGTCCTCCCTGCTCTGATTGTGGCAGGCAGGTTAGTGACCCTGAGGAGGGACTCTGTGGGTGACTTCTGCTGCAGGCAGAAAGGGGGTGGTGGCCCGCCATCTTCCTGGTGTTAAAAAGAAAGTCCAGGTCCCATTACAACTTCATGTCTGATGAATTGCAGCCTGCGTGGGTGTCCCTGTGCTGAGTTCTCTGAGCTCCAGGGCCCCCACAGCCCTGTCTACATTACAGAGGGAGGCCAGTCTCCCAGACCACGGGCCAGAGACACCGCCCTCCTGGACCACAGGCAGCTCCGCTGGCTGCTTGGGTGGGGGAGATGGAGTTGAACTGAGCCCACCCTGTTCCCCGGACCCCCAAGAAAGGAATGATGGCTGCCCGGAATGGAAATTATGGGCAATTATTTTGCCTTGAACTGGCCAAAAGATCCACAGTGAAGGGACCCCTCAAAGAGGCTGAGAAAATGAACCATGGATGGGAGTTAGCCCAGAGGAGTCAGAGGCCGGGCTCTGCCTCGCTGGGCGCCTGTGGAAGGGCAGCCTCGGTGCCTCATCTCCCTGCTCACTGGTCTGTCCATCTGTTGGTTGGAGGCCACCTGTGGCCTGAGGCGGCTTCCTGTGCTCATGGCCCCGGCTTTACTCCCCTCCTGGCAACTCTGGTCTCAGCCTCTCTCTCTCTCTCTCTCCTCTCCTGCCCTCCCTTCCCCCAATCTGGAAATCCCCCCCCAAGTGCCTTTAATCATGTCACTGCCCTTCTTGGGCCCTTTCACGTGCGCTCTGTCTTTGGGGATGAGGTGCTGACCCTGAAAGCAGGACTCAAGGTGAGGACACACGGGGGCCTCCCAGGCTCTGTGGTATGCTCCCTGCTTCCCGCACACCAGTCCTCCGTCTCCTCCCCGTGTGTCCTGTGTCCCTGCCTGCCCATGACCCAGCGGCTTCCCCCAGGGCCTGCCTCTCCTGGGAGGCGCACCTGTCAGCCAGGTAACGGAGAGTGAGTTTCTGCTTCTCCCCTGGGGCAGTCACACACCCTTTTTAGCACCACAGTAAGTGTGTGAGAAATTGTTCTGCCACTTGTACCCATGAGGTGGTGGGTGTCCCTGGCCTGCCTGGGAGGTGACCCTGTTCCGTAAAGGGTAGATGGATGGGGTGGATGCTGGGACTTTGCTCAGCTCCAGTGAGACCCCCTCTGGGGCTTGGCTCATGGTGGGCATGTGCCATGGCTGTGGTGGCATCAGACCAAAGCCATTCCTATTGGGGTTGGAGCTGGGGGCTGGGGCAGCCAGGGGTCTCGGGCTGTGCTGCTCTGGGTATATCCCTGACCCACCTGCTGACCCTTCCCATATCTGACTCCCCCCCTCCACTGTCCCTGCCCTGTCCCTGGAGGAGACCCCTACCCCCAGCTGCTTTGCCCCTTGTCCATGTGGGTCCCCTCCTTGTCATAGGCGTGTCTGTCTAGTCTGGTCTTGGTGAGTGTCTGTGATGGGTCTTCTACCTTTGTGGGCCTGGGCTCCCTGGGCTTGAAGCGGCAGCTCTCAGGTGACACTCGGGTTGACTGACAGACAGTCAGGAAAACCCCAGTGGCAGCCTGGAGCCCAGAGGGGACAGGTTGGAGTCAAGAATCCTTGAAGCCATGTGTTCTAAGAGGGAAGTCAGTAGCCCACCTTCCTCGGCTCCGTCAGGGTCTGAGGCTGCGCTTCCCTACACAGGAGCCACAGGAAAAAAGTTAACAAGCTACTCCTGTCTTGGGTGTTCAGGAGCCAGGTGTGGGGCATTTGCCCCATCAGACACCAGCAGGAACTGTCCCCGTCCTGGCGTGGGGCCTAGGGGCCCCTGGGAGGTACTTCAGGGGCAGGTCGCTGAGCTGGGAGGTTTGCAGCAGAAAAGTTGGTCTGGGAACTGGTCACAGCAGGACCCTTCACAGGAGCTGGAAACAGAGCCCACCCCCACCATCCTCTCCCCAGGGGAAAGCCTGAAGGTGGGGGCTGCACACGCAGGCCTGGGACCCCAGGAGGAGCTGGCTGAGGGGTCCCTGTCTTTAGCTGTGGCAGGCTCTGATGGACCTGTGGCTGACATAGGTGGTGCCCTGGGAGAGAGCATTTGCCTCAAATCTGAGAGGCTTCTGTGAGCAGCCAGAGCTGCCAGGTGCGGGTCCAGGTCTGGAAGTCACAGGGAGGTTTGCTCTGTGTGAGAGCACTTGCTGGGACAGCTGTATCACAGCTCCCTCCTTCATCCAGATGGTAGGCAGGCCCCACAGAGAAGAAACTCGCCAGGTTCGCAGGGTCCTCCTGGGGGAGCAGAGAGCGAGCAGGGGAAGGGCCAGTGATGGTTCCAAGGACCCTGGGTTTGCTGTTGCACCAGAGGTAGCTAGGTGTGTTCTTTGTACAGGGGTGGAGAGAGGTGTCTAGACACCAGCAGGTGCCACGAATGTTTAAATGAACGTGTGAAAGCTGAGCCTTCCTCCCTGGAGCTGAGACCACCAGGCGTGTCTGCATTACTCAGGTGCACAGTTTGAGAACTGCTGTCTCAGGGCAACAGCTTTGAAGGCGGAGGGAGAGGGAGAGGCCCCAGGAAAACCAAGGATTTCTTGTAGTTCTTGTTTGTTGCTTTCATTTTTGCTAAAAATGTGCGTGTTCTGGTGCAGAGATAAGTCCCAGGCTGTCGGGGGTCCTGGGGTGCTGACCATTGGAGTAGCAGTTCCTGCAGAGCCCCCTCCCTGGGGCAGGTCCACCTCTGCTCATGGAGTCCGATTTTACAGGGACCCAAGATGAACCGACTTTGGCCCCCGACCCCCTTCTCCTGAGCTTCCCTCCAGGTAGAGGCAGCCACTGCCTCCTGGGTAAAGCGAGGCCCACCTCTGATTGGGCAGCTGGCCAGGCTCAGTGAAATCTCATTGATTGGTTTGTGAAACCAAACTGCATGTTTCTTCCCCAAAACATGTGCTTTCCAGAATCCTGTCCATCTAGAACAAGCTTTTTGCAAAGTCTCAGCCCATGTATTATTTTTCTGTTTGCATGAATACAGCAAAAAATAATACATCTTTTTAAAAGACGTGGCCCAAGCTCTGACTCTGGAAGGAAAAGGTATTTTTGGAGGGAAAAACAGGGAATTTTTTTCTCCAAAAATAGGGGACTGTTTTCTTTTCCAGGCCGGCAGAAGACTTTATGTGCAGCCTCCTTACGGTCCTTGCTCAGATGCAAGCTCTGTGGCTAGTGGATCCCGAGCCCAGAGCTACCCCAGGGGCGGTCGTGGTGCCTCAGTTTACCTGCACTTTGTGCCCACTCGTCCTGCCCAGGCTCCCTGCCCGGGGACTAACTGTGCTCTCCTCATTTCCAGTAAAGGCAGACCGTGCAGAGAGGGCCTGTGTGGATGCTGTCCTGGACACTCTAGGTACCGTGGACGCGTGGCACGGACAACCATTGCTGCACGGCTCTCCCGCTCCAAACGCTGCTTGTTAGAGGTTCTAGATGAGCCAGGGAGAGGCCACCCCCGGCCCCCAGACCGAATTCTGATTGACAGGTTGGCCCATGGCCTGCGTGGGGCAGTACTAGGCACCCTCTGATCCAACACCCCTTCTCCAGAAGCCAAAGGAGCCCTGCTCCAAGCAGGAGGGGGCCAGCCCGGGGCTCTGGAACCCAGAAAGGGCATCTGCCCCAGGGTCCTGACCACTCAGGAAGCCTTTCTCCAGGCATCAATCTAGCACCTCTATTAGGCACCTGAGGGTGGCTCCCCTTAACTACCGCCTCGCGCCTGCCGGGGGCAGTTCCATCCTGTGTGTGTCCCCGGCTCCCGGTGGTCCTGACACACTAGACACACCAGAAATCCAGAGGTCCACGGCTCCCCTTCTCATGCATAGGCCTGGTTTAGGGCAGACTGGAAATGGGCCAGTGAAGAAGTGCCCGCCCTTGGCACCGTGGGCACCTTGACTGTGCGTCCACTCCTCTGTCCACTGTCAGCTGGTGGGTGTTGGAAGTGTCTGTTTTCTGCTTGCTTTAAGTGCTCCACCCCCTCGCCCCATCTTCTTCCTGCCCGCCTCCAGCCCTGACTGGTGCAGCACTGCAAGGTGTGGGCAGATACTCACTTGTCCATGTGCATGTGGCCAGTGTGGGGTTGCAGGTGTCAGGAGGGGCTGCACCGCAGGATCAGGGCCCTGGCGGCCGCATGCTTACACCTCTGCACCTGTGCATGCTCCGAATCCCCTCCACCCTGAGCGTGGCTCGGAGGGTCGCCCCTTACTTGTCCATGCTACCTGTGTGCTCACAGATGTAGGCATTGTGGGGGTGAATTGTAACCCCAGGAGGGGAGATCTGGGTCTGGCACAGGCTGTTCTGCTTGCCTGGAGCTCTGTCCATGGTGCTTCCAGCCATGGGCTGCTCCCTCGGGTCAGGGGCTGTGGTCAGGCTGCTTGGGGACTAGAGGGGCCAGGAGTCGGGCCAAGTTCAGCCCTGTTGTGCACAAGCCACAAGCATCACTCATCCTCCCCCTTCCCTGGGGCACCCATGGTCCAACCATGGTGGGCAGCGCTCTGGGGATGCCAGCTCCCGCCCCGCTGAGCTGGCCCACTGTGCGGACCTCTCACTCACCCCATCCCAGCTTGCAGTTGGCCCCACATATTTGAATTTTCCTGGGGGGAGCTGAACTGCGGCTTTCTCCCACCCTCCTACATGTGCTCCCCAGCCCATGTAAATGCCAGAGCATGGATACCTCAAAACTGTCCCTCACACTGTGGTCATCTGGCAAGAGCCCCTCCCATGCACTGGTGTCCGTCCTTGGCTTGTGAAGTGAGCGAGCACTCTCCCTCACCACCTGCAGAACCACTGGCGTTTGGATTTTTGGAGTTTGGGCAGGTCTGGGTGGCTGGAGTAGGGGGTAAGTGCCTGGGGTCACTGAGCCTCCATGACTGTGGAAGTCCAGGTGCCCACCCTGTGGCATCCTCCAGCAGGGGACCCTTCTCTGGTCTAAGCAGGGGGCTGCAGGGCCAGACTAGACCAGGAAAGGCTCCTTCCTTTGGCTCCGTCCTCATGATGCATGGCAACAGGTTCTGTTGGGGTCCCCAGCTCTCCTGGCTGGGCAGGGCTATCACTTCTCATGGTCTCACTGGACCAGCTGGTGGCCTTTGTTGGGACAGGAACACAGAAAGGTCATTTATACAGAGGCCCTCATGATGCCTGGTACTGAGCATCCCCTGGTCCCCACCTGCCCGTCTGGGCCTTGTCCTGGATTCAGTGGTGATGAGCTCTGGGCCGGTGTCCTGAGCAAGTTGATGCCCGGTCCTGTGCTCACAGGACACAGGACACCCAGAGGCTCCAGAGGAACTGCCCCCACAAAGGGCTCCACACCGTGGGGTCATCTGCCCAAGAGGCTTTTCTCCCTGTCCTGCAGAGATCCCTGAACTAACACAGACAGTCTGTAGGGCCCGGAGGCAAGCAGGGGTGCCAACCTGGGCCACAGTGTCCTGGCTAGGTGGACCAGGTGGCAGGCCACCTCCTTTCCATGGCTGGTCATCTCTGCGCCGCCCGGCAGGTGTGTCTAGGCTGTGAGTTGGGGTTGGGGCTGATGGAGGGCTGACCTGGGGTAGCCGCGGGGGGGCTGGTGATGCAGGAGGAGCAGGCATGATGGGTTCCCACAGGGCCCCCTGCGCAGGTTTATCACAAGCCCCCAGGGGCAGCAAGGGGCCCTGCTCAGGGGGTAAGCGGGCTCACAGTTCAGAACCTTGCTGTCCTCTCTCAGCACATGCGGTGTGTGTTGGGGGACTGCTCAGTGGGGGAAAGCAAGTGGCCGCTGGGCCCCTGGCCTAATGCTGCACCCTGACCACGGTGACCCACCCTCTGTCCTGGCTGCTGTATGAGAGCCAGGCGAACTTGGGTGTCAGACCCATCTCCATGGCTGCCAAGAGACATGTGGACAGGGAGGCCCGAGGACCCCCACAGAGCTGTGGCTGGTGGTCACCCACTCCCTGTGGCCTCAGGCTAGGGCAGACCCATTCACTCCACCCTCCGGGAGCTGGTGGTCAGCTCCCAGTGTGCCCTGGGGCAGGTGTGGAGCCTACGGAGCCCCTGGGTGAGGGGAGGTGGACAGATACCACCCCCAGGATGCTCCTTGTCCCGCTGCGCTCACCCTGCTCCCTGGGCGGCGAGGGGTCCAGCACTCAGCTGCAGACCTTGCCCTCCTGACCCTGGGGCAGTTACAGGGTGTGGAGGGGCAGAAAGGGAACCTGCTGAGTGGGTGTAAGCCCGCATTGGTGCCCAGGGAGAAGCTGCTCTTGCTGGGCATTTGGAGGCCTGTCCTGCTGTGGGTGTCACCTTGGAGAGGGAGGCCTGGCCAGACAGTCCGAACAGGGCTTGAGCCCCTTTTGGTGGTAGACAAAAGTGACTTAAGAGTCCACTGACACCTCGGCTCGGCCAAGCACCTGAGCCAGCCCGGGACCCCCGGTGGAGCTCACCACCCACAGCCATCTCCGTCTCCCTCACCCCGTGACTCCCTCCCCTACGAGGGCTCCGGCCCAGGGCAGCTGCCCTGGAGGGAGTTTCTCCGGGCTGGGACTGCAGCTCTCCCGTCCATGTGGGACGGCGTCGGCTAAGAGCAGATTATGGGCGTGAGCGTTCTGCCGAGTGACTTCTGCTGTCTTTCTGTGTGCGTGTGTGCCCGTCTGTCCTGGGAGCAGTCAGAAGGTCAGTTTGAAAGACCGTGTCTTCTCCAGCCCCCGAGGCGTGGCCGCCAAGGGGAAGGGGTCCCCGCAGGCCCAGCCTGTCAGGCGATCGCCCAGTGCCGACCAGAGCCTGGAGGACAGTCCCAGCAAGGTGCCCAAGAGCTGGAGCTTCGGGGACCGCAGCCGCGCACGGCAGGCCTTCCGGGTCAAGGGGGCCGCGTCTCGGCAGAACTCGGAAGGTGGGTCAGGTCGCTGCCCACCTGTGTCGAGCTGCTTCCAGGGTCCCACCTCTGAGCACAGCGCCCATTTTACCCATTTCTTCTTTTATTGAGGTGCAACTCATGTGGCATAAATTAGCCATTTTAAAGTGAACAGTGCAGGGGCATTCTGCATGCTCACTGTCTAGCGCCAGACATCTCCTCTCCCAGAAGGAGCCCCCGTTAGCAGGCACCCCGGGCCCTGGCCGCACCAGCCACCCTCCTCTCGGAGTGTCCTGGACGAGTCACACGAGCGGACCATGCAGCGTCTGTGCTTCTGTGTCTGGCTTTGTTCACAGAGCCTTCTCTGGGCTCCTTCCTGGTGCGCACAGGACAGAACCACGTTCTATTTCACGCTGAGCGATGTTCCGTTGTTACTGGGTGTGGATGCGTCCCACTCTGTCCCTCCATCTGCCCACTCGCAGGGATGCCCCTTTAATCCTCGTGGCGCGCCCGGCAGGCCACGGCCGGCAAAGTGACTGAGCGAGAACAGAGGTGGAATCTAGAGCACGTGGGTGGACAGTGCACCCGGGGTGCCTGAGGGGTTCCCTGATGAGTATTTGCCACCGTGTCAAAGAACCCATCCCTTCATGGGCTGTATCCCCTTCTACCCAGAAGCAAGTCTCCCCGGGGAGGACATTGTGGATGACAACAAGAGTTGTCACTGCGAGTTTGTGACGGAAGACCTGACCCCCGGCCTCAAAGTCAGCATCCGGGCCGTGTGGTAAGTGGCCCCAGGTGTCTGAGGCGCCCCCTCACAGGGCCCATAAAGGGGCAAGGTCACTCTGTCCCTGGTGTGTTGGGTTTTGGGGGGCTTGTGTGAGGGTATGTACTTGGGGGGGATACCTTGTGGCCGACACCCCTTCAGTTCCGGCTCCTTGTGGCTCACAGTGTCCACCTGCCTGTCGCTCGAGGCTGTCAGTGGATGGCCAGGAGCAGCCCCCACACAGGGTCCTGGGTGGATGAAGGTCTGTCTGCACAGCTGGGCCCCGATAATTGGGACACGCTGTCCAATACACATTCTCGGACATGCAGGGAGGGCCCCAGGCCGCTTGGCGGGTGGCCTGTGGTGGTCTCTTCCCGGGGCTCATGGCCCTTGCCCATCTCCCTCAGTGTCATGAGGTTCCTGGTGTCCAAGCGGAAGTTTAAGGAGAGCTTGCGGCCCTATGACGTGATGGATGTGATCGAGCAGTACTCAGCCGGACACCTAGACATGCTGTCCCGCATCAAAAACCTGCAGTCCAGGCAAGAGCCGCCCCGAGCTCCGGGGCGCCGAGGCAGGTCCTCCTGGGCCAATGCCAACGTGCCACCAGGTGGGGAGATGGGTGCCGTGGGGGCCTTGCACGCTCCCCACCAAGGCGGGGCGATGCACAGGGCTGTAGGGGCACGGTGGCCAGCCCTGCTTGCTGCCACATCCAGGCCCTTCCTCTTGGCCCTGCAAAGACTTCCTGTAGTGTTTGTTTTTAACATCTCTGTTGTCTCTCCTTCTCTTTCCTCCTGCCCACACTATGATGGGCAAATGTGTATGTGTGTGTGTGTACTTACACATGTATGTGCGCACATGTATGTATGTGTGAATGCACACACGTGAGTGCACTGTATAGGTCTCTGTGTGCATGTATACCTGTGCATGTATGTGCACATGTGCGTGCGTGCACACATGTGTGCCTGTGTTTCTGTATATGCCCTGTATGGCGCACATCATGCATGTGCACATGTGTCCATGTGTGTTGGGAACAGAGTAGTTCTTTTAAGAGGTAAAACTGTAGGGCATTCATGGGCCCCATCAGGCATCCGTTATGTACCTTGGCATCTCTTCTTCCAGGACAGAGGGGCTCGTCCACCCACCCCATCTCACAGGGCTTTCCACCTCCTGGGCAGGAAGCGGGGCTGGGGAGTGTGTCTGCGGCATGGCAATGGCAGGGCTCACACTGCTGTCTCCAGGCCCGCATGTGTGAGGACTGGCTTGCTCACCTCAGAAGCCACCTGTACATGCATGTATACAGACATGAGCAAGGACCTGGGGAACACACAAGCACACCTGTGAACAGGTGAACAGGTGTGTACATAGACCTATGTTCACCCCATGTGTGCTGGTACATGTGAGTACACGTAAGCATGCTGTTAGCCTGGTGCCCACATACATGTACCACATAATTACACACACATGTACACCGAGTACACATGATCATAGGCACCCACCCTCCACATATACAAACAAGCTGTGTACACATGTGTGTTTGTGGTGCCTGTGAGCAGGTCACATAGCTGTTGTTGTGGGCCACTCCTGAGGTGGGTGACATGCTTCTGCCTGTCAGAGCCCCTTCCCTGCCTGCAAGCCCCTCAAACAAACCTGCTCCACTGTGGGCCCTGGCTGCGGGAGGATTGGGACAGTCGGGGGACAGTCCCGGAGAGCAGCCTTGCTCCCGGCCCAGGGAAGGAATAAGGTCCTCATTCTGGGAGGTCAGCGTACTCCACTTTGGGGTGCCTCCTCTGTCCTGCTTCTGGATGCCAGGGGAGGGGTCTCCCTGGGCCTTAAGCTGCTCCTGGTGGGCAGGGGTCATGGGGTGACACTTTCCTTTACCGGGGCTTAGGCTATGGCAAATTGCTCAGCATCCTCCCAGAGCACTGACTAGACCTGTGCTGTGCATGTGAGCAAATGTGGGTGTGATTTTGAACATGGGGAAAATGTGCGAGTGTCTGAGAGCAAACACATGTGCATGTGTGCAAACAAGTCAGGTATGCAAGTATGTGCAAGCAAGCAAAGGTGCATGTGAGCAACATGTGCGAGTGTGCATATGTCTGAGTGTTCTGCGAGTGTGAGTCTGTATGTGTGTGCACAAGCAGAAGTGTGTGAGTGTGCATACAAGTGTGTGAGTCTGCCTGGGTTTGCAAGCAGATGTGAGTGCGTGTGCACACGTGTGTGTGAGAACAGTCCCCTTGCTGGCCTCCCGCGCACGCCTCTCTGCCGCTGAGGTGCTCCCCAGGCCCTTCTTTCCTAAACTCTCCCTTTCCTCCTCTTTATGTCAGGAGAAGCTAAGTGTCCCCAAGGAGCCAGGGGTCTGTCACTGGCCAGCAGTCCTGAGTGTCGTTAAAGCTGGCGCCTCTGGTGCTGGACCCCGCACACAGGCCTAGCTGGGCAGGCTGGGCACGACCACGATGTGGTGCCCGTGCTATGCCCCCTGGGACACGGGAAGGATCAAGCGAGCTTGCTGCTGCGCGTGGACATGGTTGTAAGGAGTGTCTGTTGCTTCGAGCTAGGTTGTGCCTTCTGTCTCTGCAAGTCCCCAGCTGACCCTTGTGGTGCTTCACGACGCGCTTGCTGGTGTCTCTTTTCTTATTTACTTGCCAGGATAGATATGATTGTGGGTCCCCCACCCCCTTCAACTCCCCGGCACAAGAAGTACCCCACCAAAGGACCCACGGCCCCTCCGAGAGAGTCACCCCAGTACTCACCTAGGTCAGGATGCCAACCCACTCCCGCCTTGTGTCTGTGGAATGGCCAGCCCCCTTCGCTCCAGGCCACATGACGGCAGCCCCTACTGCTCTTCCGAGGGATGGAGGGGATGTTTCTCTGTCCCTGACAAAGCCAGGCCAGGAGCAGGTGTTCCTCTGCAGGGCTCGGGTGGGCTGTGTCAGGGGCTGCTCCTCTCAGCAGGGGAAGTTTTCCTAGGACAGTCTGTGTGACTTCCTCCTGGGGTGGGGTCTCCCTGGCAGAGACAGAGGCCAGCTCCGCAAGGATTGGAGGCATCCAGATGTGCAGGGAGGAACTTCAGGGCTCCAGGGACCATGGTGTCCTTGCCTTCCAGACCTGAGGCCTGACTCAGAGGCCAGGCACCTGCCCACCCCCCCAGGGTTGACCTGGGCCCTGGGAGGATCTGAGTAGTTCCCGTGCTTTTCGTGATGGTAGTCCTTGTGGATAAATGGGAGTCAGGTTCCCAGTGAGTGTTATCAACGTCACAGTTAGCGTTACTGATGAGGACATTGACTGATGGGCAGAATGGATGGTGAGGGCACACTTAGGAGGTGAGTTAACACATGCAGGTTCTTTAGTGACAAATCCAGACTTCAGAGCCCTTCAGCGTCCCTGGGACCCTTCAGAGGGCCCTGCAACCCACTCACCTTCTCTGGCAGGTGTGGTTGGTCCAGGGAGAGCAGAGTCCCCGGAGCAGGGATGTAAGAGTGAGGAGAGACACACCTGGCAGTGCTGACAGTTCCAGAGCAGAGGGGCCCAGGGGCCTGGGCCCCTGGAGGCAAGGTCAGCCTGTCAGACATCTCAACCTGGCATTCTAGGGGGAGCAGGCCTGACCCAAGACAGCCCCAGACAATATTTTCTGGATCTCCTGCTCTGCCATGTCCTGCAACCTCAAGGATGTGGTACCACGCTGTCCTCCTGGGTGTTGTTGCAGGTGATGGAGCTGGATGTTGAGAACCATGAGCTGGGAAGGTCTTGCTGCCCTCAGAGCCCCACAGGCCTCCCAGACCATCACAGCCAGAGGGACTCACGGTTCCAGAAAAGGGGGCAGGAGGACAGTCTTAGCACAGGGGAGTTAAGCCTGACTCCTCAGCCTGAGGCCTGGGGAAGGGGTGGTGCGGGCTCCTCAGAGGACCCTCTCCCAGCCACCCCCCTTGCAGCAGCAGCAGCAGGCTGATCCCTCGGCCACGGCTCCCAGGGGGACTAGCCAGGCAAGTGGCCCGTCATGTGGCAGGGGTGAAGGCGCTGAGCACTTGTGCCTGGACTGTATGGACACGTGGAAACACCAAGAACCCTTTCTCCCTGTCCATTTCCACTGGTGTCTGCTTGGACCCCAGGGTCCCCCCGCCGTCACCTCCCACCCTGCTGACCCTTCGGTGCATGAGTCCAGCATGATGCCCAGGGGGCATGAGGAGGCTGCACTGTGACTGATGCAAGCCTGAACCCCTCTTCTGCTTCCTGCAACAGAAAGAAAACCACCCAAAGTACCCCCATCAGAGGCAGACAGGGCGGCCCTGTGGTCAGTAAGGAAGCCCCAATGTGGCCCAGCCAACTCATGAGGACCTTGCATCCCACACTTGAGAAGTGGGCTTTGTGCTGGGGGCTCCAAGCCAGAGATGAGGTGGGGACTGCCAGCTTCGGCCTGGGTCGCTGCCCTGCTCGGCTGCACCCTGGCTTAAGTGCTGTTTGCCTGGCAGATTCGCAGCAGCCGCCCCATGGCTTGTAGACAGCCAGGCCCTGGATGCTGAGTGAGCGTTCTCAGGCTCATGCGCCTGTGGCCCCTTGTGAGCCCTTCCTACTCTTGCTGGTCAAACAAGCCCCCGCCCTAAGGGAAGCTTCCTTCTCCTCTTATTGGTATTCATGACCTAAGGCCTGATTTGAGATAAGCTCAGCTGCATTCTGCATCCTGCACATGTGTGTGCACACACACTAAGCGTGCACACACACACACACACACACGTGCACAGGCACACGTGTGTGGTATGTGCACGTGCATGGTGTGCACAATGCACGCACATGCCCACACATGTACACGGCATACGCATGTACAGTGAACACGAGGCACACACATGCACAATGTACACGACACATGTGTGCACATACATACACATGCATGTGCACGTGCAAGCACACAAAGACCCTCTCTCTGGTTGGCGGTGGCTCTGCCTGTCCCCTCTTTGGTTGTGCGTGGGCAGTTTCCATGCTGGTCTGTGTCCCTGCCTCCCTGCTTCTGTTGTTCCCACTGCGGACATTTTACTCTGTTCCCACCAGACCGGCTGCGTGGAGGGCTCAATGCACATTATGAAGGAGGGAAGCTCGGGTGGGGGCAGGGCTGGGGGGCAGAGCATGCAGGGGCATAGCTGAGGGGTGAATGGCCCCAGTACCTTCAGGTGCCTTCTCACCAATGTGCTGGCCCACTGGAACAGGGTGGACAGGGAACTGGCCCTGGGGGTCCAGAACCAGGTGAGAACAGGTGCCCGGCGTCCATCTGTCCTGGCACCTGCTGCCCCCCAGTCAGCTCTGGGTGCAGCCTGGAACCTGGATCTGGGGGCTATGGCCTGGTCCAGGAAGAGGGGGCCACAGGCCACCACACCCACTCGAACTCATGCTGCGGGGCGGGGTCTTTTCCCGGCAGAGTGGACCAGATCGTGGGGAGGGGCCAGGCAATGACAGACAAGGACCGCACCAAGGGCTCGGCGGAGGCGGAGCTGCCAGAGGACCCCAGCATGATGGGCCGGCTGGGCAAGGTGGAGAAGCAGGTGGGAGAGTCCAGGAAGGCCGCCCTGCCCTTAGCTTGGGCGTGTCTGGGGCTGGACGCTGAGGGAGGGGCCCTCGAACTTCTAGGTACGTGGGTCCATCACAGCTCAGTGTGCTACATCTGGACCCCTCCCAGGTCGGAGGCACTTTCCTTTCTGAGGCTGCAGACCCTCAGGGCCAGGAGCATCATTTACACCCCCTCCCCTTGCAGTGGTGGGGGCCACTGAGAGACGCCACATACCGGGGCCCTGCGGGTTGCCCTCTGACTCACCTGGGGCCTCGTTCCTAGAGCTCTCTCCTAGGAGTGAGTTCTCAGGATCCATGCACAAGGTCTCCTACTGGGCTCTGCTTCTGGCAGCTGAGGGAGGAGGGGCCATGAGTCCTCTGAGGGGAGGGCACCATCCCTCTGTGGCGATTGCTCTGAGGGGTGAGCCCATGGTGGGCAACGTGGCAGCCAGATTAGCAGGAGGGCCCAAGTCCAGTGCTCTGAAGCCCTGAGACCACACACAATGATAGGTGGGGTCAGATGCTGAGCTGTTAGTGGGTCTGCCTCCCACGGCCTCTACACCTCTGCAGGGAACAGCTTGGGTCCCCACCCCTGCGGGGATCAGCCCGGGTCCCGCCACCTCAGGGAGTAGCTTGGTCTCCTCACCTTGGGAAGCAGCCTGCCCAGCAGCCCCTCTTGCAGGTCCTGTCCATGGAGAAGAAGCTGGACTTCCTGGTCAGCATCTACACACAGCGCATGGGGATCCCGCCCTCAGAGACTGAGGCGTACTTCGGGGCCAAGGAGCCGGAGCCTGCGCCGCCATACCACAGCCCCGAGGACAGCCGTGATCACGGGGACCGTGGCGGCTGTATTGTTAAGCTCATCCGCTCCACCAGCTCTGTCGGCCACAAGAATTTCTCAGCTCCCCCAATTGCACACCCCACCCAGTGCCCTCCCTCCACCTCGTGGCAGCAGCAGGGCCACCAGCGCCAGGGCCACGGTGCCTCGCCCGTGGGGGACCATGGCCCGCTGGTGCGCATCCCTCCACCGCCTGTCCACGAGCGCTCGCTGTCTGCCTACAGCGGGGGCAACCGGTCGAGCACGGAGTTTCTGCGGCAGGAGGACGGGCCAGCCAGCAGGCCACACGAGGGCGCGCTGCGGGACAGCGACACGTCTATCTCCATCCCATCCGTGGACCATGAGGAGCTGGAGCGCTCCTTCAGCGGCTTCAGCATCTCCCAGTCCAAGGAGAACCTGGACGCTCTCAACAGCTGCTACGCGGCCGTGGCACCCTGTGCTAAAGTCAGACCCTACATCGCCGAGGGCGAGTCGGACACAGACTCGGACCTCTGCACCCCGTGCGGGCCACCGCCGCGCTCGGCCACGGGCGAGGGCCCCTTTGGCGACGTGGGCTGGGCAGGGCCCCGGAAATGAAGCCCCTGCCTGCCTCTCCCTGACTCTTGACCTTGAGGTTTCGAGGCGGGACCCTCAGGGCCTGTTTTTGGAGTCACGCTGTGGGTGCCCGTGCAGGGAGCGGTGGCGGGTGGGGGGTCGTCTCCTCAGTGAAGGTTAACATAAGTCTTTTAACAACGAAGGGCAGCCAGGCAGCTGTGCCCACTCTGTGGACCACCAGCCCAGGTGTGAGTGGGAGGGGTGATGGCGGAAGACAGGCCCCTGGTGGCAGGCTGGAGGTGTAGGGTCAGGGAGCAGGGCCAGGGTGAGGGTGCCTAGCAAGGGGCAGGCCCATCTCTGTGAGGACCGGTTCATGCGCACAGCTGGGGCGATGCCCCTTGCCTCCGGCACCCATCCAGAGAGCTTCGGCAAGCATGGTCCCCTCCTCCCCCTGCATTCTCAGTGTCCTGTGGTGGGAGCCAGCCCTGCACCCAGGGCCCTGGTCCAGAGAGGAAGGGATGGGGCCTTGGGACCACACAGGAGCATGGTGACCTCAGGCCCCCAGGCTTGGCTCTGCGGGGAGCTCCTGCTCCACAGGTTTCTGGAAGGGGGTCTTTGGGGGCTTTCCCTGCCACAGGAGATCTGGGGGGTGGGCATCCCCTTGTCCTCTCTGCTCTCCCCTGGCTGGGCTCAAGTCAGCTGGCTGTAGCCAGCACTCTGCCAGAGACCTGCGTATGGGGAGCTGTACTGGGCGGGCAGGGGCACTGCCTTCGGCTGGGCTTCGTTCCTGGGTCCCGGGGCTGGGGGCGAGCAGATTCTTCCCCTGCCCTTTGCCAGGGCCCTGCTTCGCCTGTCCCCTACTAGTGCCCTGACAGGACCCATGGCTGGATGAGGGCGTAGCCACTGGCAAAATCTTTCCAGGTCCCCAAGCATCGTTAGACGAAGGCAGCTCTATCTTATAGGTTGTCTCTCCTGTCCTCGCTGGAACCAGCTGTCTCCCACCCGCTCTCCTCTGCTGACTGGTCCCTTGGCTGTGGCCTCTTGATGTCTTGGGAGTCAGGGACACTGGGCCCTGGGGAGCAAGAACCCCCACCCCCCTGTTGTGGGCACCTGGACAGAGGAGCAACAACTTTAAACCAGGAGCTCAAATTTGGAGTGGGCCCTCAGCAGGCAGTGCCAGGCGCCTGGCATATGGGGTGATGGACAGCAAGCCTGGCACCTGGCGTCCTCTGAGGCAATTACCCCATGGGCGCAGGGCTGGGCTCAGCTAAGGCCACCATGTAGCGACTGCCCCGAACACTGGGTCCAGGGACAGCCTCTGTCATCTCCTCACGGCACTTGTATGAGCCCATACTGACTTGGACCTGAGCCAGCAGGGTCTCTGAGGTTGCAGCAGGAGGGGCTGAGCCCACACCTGTATGGGGGATGGTCTTGGGAGACGAGGGGTCGAGGCTCCTCCTCAGGGGCCCCCAGACCCAGTCCTGAGCAGCACATGTCTCCTCAGTGCCCATCCACTGTGTGGGGCCCCACCTTTGAAGTAACCTAACAGGACAGAGGCTGGGTGTTTTGGAAGCTTGCATACTGTCTTGGGTGTGAGTGTGTGACCAGAGTATGGCTGAGAGCAGACGTTCCTAAGATGAGCATATGTGTTAGCTGGAACACCCCCCCACTCCACGGGCACACACCCGTGCCCACTCACATGCCTGTGTGCATGTAGCACACATGCTCACTCACGGGCACACCCAGAGGCACATAGTGTGCACGCATGCTCACATATACGGAAAAGTGCACAAGCACGCACATGCACATGTACATACCCACACGTATGGACATGCTTGCACGCACACGCACAATATGCACCTCACACACATACAAGCAAAAGTGCACAAGTGCACAATACCCCTCACACTGTGCGCACGTGCACGTGGGCACAAGCACACAGGCACACATGCATACTCTCCCTCATGCATGCACACGCATTGTATTCTGACTCGGCAGCCCTTTGGCCTCTCTCTGCTTTAAGTCATGAGGAGTCACAGGGATTCTAGAAGGTTGAAGCCAGGGCAGGGCTCCTGGGCAGAAGTGGCAGAGGGTCCGCTGGAGCCCATCAGGGTCCCATGATGCCCTACCCCTCAGCTGGTTAGTCCCTGTCCAGAGTAGAAAATGCCCAGCGATGGCTTGGGCTGGGCCAGGGAGGTCTTGGCATCTGTGGGGGTGCCCAGATGTGACACTGGTGCTGGCCAGCTCCCTGTGGCCCCTTGGCCCCGTGGCCTGGCCTCATCACCGCCAAGTGGGGTGCTGCTCTCTTTATTGGCCCAACTTCCCCCTCTTCTGTCCATGTGGAGCCGTGAGCCACAGCCTCGCAGGGCCACCTGGAGTGGGAGGGATGGCCAGGCTGTAGAGCCCCCCAGCCTGCCCGCCCAGCCTGCCCCACTGGAGGATATAGCTGCCCACTCAGCAACACCGCCCGCCCCGGCTCCGGGCCCCACGCCGCGAGGGCTGCTGCGTAGGGGCCATCTGCCCGCTAATCCCCATGTCTGAGCCCAGCACTGTCACCAGCCAGGCAGTATCGTGCGTTTTCAGTGTGTTAACTTACTAACCTACCTTTTCCCTCACTAGGCTGTCCCCCTCCTGTGGTTGTGGGTTTGAGATGTGAACATGGGAGAGAGGGGGTCATTCTCTTTGTTGCCCCACATTCAGGGGACCCTCGTACACCAGGTACCCCCGTCCCCACTGATGGTGGAAAGAACTCGGCGCTGAGACAGTTCTAGACATTTTCTGAAACCCAGAGGGGCGCTGGACCTCGGGGATCTCTGTAGAAATGCTGGTGTTTGTAACTATTTCATATTCACCCTGAATTGTAAATAATGTACAGATGGTCCTCAGGTGCCCTCTGTGGGGGTGGCACAGACCTGCCTTCCATGACCCCTCGAGCGGGTCTCCAAGTGACCTGCCTGTATGTACTGATATCGGTGTGAGGTAGGAAGGTTGGTGGGGCCCAGCAGGGGTGGGCTGGCTGCTTCTAGAGCCCTGGGGAGCCTGTGTGGTTGTCCCAGCTGCCCTCCTCTGTTCCTGTCCCCAGGGGCAGTCGCCACTTGGACCCCGACCCAGCACTAAGTACAAACAACCAAGGAGGGCTTCCTGAAGGAAGCAGTGTGGTGGATCAGGGCCGCGCCTCTCCTCTCTCCACAGGTCCTGGGAAAGCTGGCTGCCCAGGCCAGGACACCATGTAGCTCCTGTAGCATGCAGGAGTCTTGAGAAGGACAGGGTCCCAGCTGATCAGAGGGCTGCTATGCTGGGAGGGGGGAGGCTTTAGGAAACAGGGTAGAGAGTGGGAAAGGGATGCTCCTTGGGAGGTGAGACCCCTCTTCGCAACATCTTGAAGTCATTTGTAAGGTTGGGGAGGAGTCGTTGGTCTCTTGTCTTGGATACTTATGAGGGTGACCCCACTGAGAATGTTGGGACAGGAGGGGACCCTCCTGGTGGAGGCCCTAGTCCTAGAACTTCTAGGCAGGCGTGCGCACATGGCTGTTTGTCGCACACCCAACTCCGACTGGGTTTCATAAAGTTGTTGCCTTAATGCATGTTGATGGGAATTCACTGAGGTCACCCCCTGTGCCCTTGGTGACCACCAGGCACCGACACCGGACCCCGTGGCCTCCTCCACCTGTGGTCCCCCAACCAGCCCCACAGAGGGCGCAGAGCGGGTGGGTCCCACAGCTGCCTCCCGCGCACTGGGCTCAGCGTGCTGGTCCGCCGCCCCTGCCCGTCCCGCCATGTCCACGCGCCCGGCCGCCCGGCCGCAGCCCCCCCGCGCTGTTGCCTTGGCTGTGTTTGCACTTTCGTTCATGCTCCAAAGAATGTTTCCTCATGCCTTGCGTGTGACACGCACGGGGCCACGGTGTGCGCCCCGCACCACGGTGACCGGGCCTTTTCTCCATAAATGTGTCGCCACCTCACATGTGCATCTCCACCACCTGTGGTTTTCCAAGGATAGATGCCCAGGGAACGGGTCCGGTTTTCCAGGACCAGAGAGATGCTAACTCACTCAGCTCACTGTCAGGTTGATGAGAACAGGTCCAGCACGGGTTCCCGGGGACCTTGGGTGTGGAATCTGGTGGCGGGGAGGCATGTAGAAAGTTATGGGAAGTTCTGATGACACGGGGACAAGTCCGGGTGCCCAGTGGACCTGCGCACTTAGTAAAACACCGTGATTCAACCTGGACAGTGTGTGCCTCTTTCCTCTCACATGCTGTCTCGGGGCTGCTGGCCTGTGGCAGGGACTCATGGTGGCAGGGACAGCAACAGCCTCCACCAAGAGGCTACTGTGCTCCCACCGGGGAGGGGTCTCGCTCTTCAGGGTCAGGGCGCTGGGCTCTGCCAGTGTCTTCTCTCTGCCATAACTAAGGACCACAAGCTGTGGCTCAAACAGCAGAAACTACTGCTCACCCACTGCAGGCTCCTGCCTCTGGCCTTCCCTCTGCCATCCAGAGCAGCGGGGTCCTGGGCCCGAGGAAACATCAGCCTGGTCCTTGGGTGTGCGCTCTGTGCACAGTGCTTGTCCTCGTGTCCTAGGAGCCAGCTTCTGCTGCCCTTGGCACCTGCCCCGTCACTCCCTCCACCTAGGTTTCCACCTCACTCCCCTTGACCTCCAGCTACCTGCCAGGGCCCAACTGGGTGAGGTGCTAGGGGCAGGGCAGGACATCCTGTCTCCCACCTGAGGGTCCTGGGTGAGGGCCCAGCTGCACTAGGTTTGTGCTGAGCAACTATGCTGCTCCACCTTCTGGAATGTTCCAACCACCAGACCCTCCCTGGCTGCTGGGGTGGGCTGAGCAGGAAGAGCAGCTCAGCTGGGCTCAGGGCTAGGAGGACTCAAACCAGCCTCTCCCAGCCTGGCCCTGCAGTGGTGGGGGTGGGGGTGTGAGGAAGGGCCTGCAGGCCCAGGTGACCAACCAGAGGTTTATGCTGCAAGGCTTCCAGAAACTTCTGGGTTGGGGTGCCTTTCTTTGGGATAACTGGATGGTGCTCCAGGCACATCTGGGCTGGTGCCTACAGGTTGAGGGTCAGCTGCTGAGCTCACTTCTGTCCACCCATAGCACCAACCAGGATCCTCTGTGTCCCCTGCTTGTCCTTGCTAGAGACAAGGGACTGAGGGCTGCACAGTCATCCCAGGAGACCTGAGGCTGGGGTTTGCCAGGGCCAGCG